CTCAACTCACCTCCTTGGGCAGCAGGGAAATGAAGTCTCTTTGGAACTGGGGTTCAATGACCTGCATCATGTACTTGATTTGGGAGGGCTCACAGCGATCAATGAGCTCATCCAGAGCAAGCAGCTTCTCCGGGCCACTCCACCGCTGAGGACAGGGACATCAGTCACGATGCCTGCACGCACGGCAGGCCCTCACAGGCTCCCCTGTGGCTCTGTGCAGTGCCTATGCCCCCACCCCAACCCTAGCAGAGACACCAACCAGCACGGGCAAGCCAGGCTAGCCGGCCTCTGGAGCCAGCCAGGGCTCTGCTACCTAGATCCTAAGATAGAGAGGAGCCACAGGGACGGGGCTGGGAGCTCCACGAGTCACATAAAATGCAACACAGGCGGACAAAGCAACACCGCTCTAGGACAAAGGGGAGCAAGAAGGGGGCTAACACCACTTCTGTGCTCCTTTACCTGAGGCAAAAACTCACTAAAAATCCACTGTGGGACCCAAACACCTCCCCAAAAACCTGTTGGGTTGACGGTTGGACTCGATGATCTTAGAGGTCTTTTCCAACCTTAATGATTCTATGATTCTATGACAGACTCCCTAGGGCTTGGCTCCCCGCCTGCCTGTCAAACTCAAAGCTTCTAGGTGCCCTCCGAGGCGAGCCCTTTGGCAAGGCTCCCGAACCTACCTGGAAGGTGCGGAGCCAGTCCTGCAGCTCCGGAGGAGGGGCAACCGAGGGGATGCGGCGGCGCCGTGCCTGGCCTGCTTTGGCATTGCGCAGGTCCCCAAAGGTGGTGGTGGGACTGGGCATGCAGGGACCCAGCGTCCTGGACCACAGCCGGGGAGAGACCAAAGCAAAGGTGAGACATGCCAATGCTACTCCGGGCCACGCTGCGCAAAGGGTTCTCAGAACAGAGGTTCCCATAAACCACCAGCTATGAGCCTCCTGCCAAGTTGACCCCCTTCCCATCACTTCCACCGGGACCACAGCTACACATGCAGTCCCCTTAGCCCAGCCATTAGCTACAGAATGACAGAATCACAGACTGGTCGAGGCCGGAGGCACCTCCGGAGGTCATCTGGTCCAACCCCCTGCTCAAGCAGGACCGCCCAGATGGCTTTTGTATCTCTCCAAGGATGGAGATGCCACAACCTCAGCAGGACAGCTAGACGACTGAGGGATGGGACTGGTAGAAGGAGGTCTTCCCACCCCTCAGGCCAACCCGCTCAGCACGCAGAGCGCTCATCTTACCTGCTGTACTCAGAGCCCTTGCACAGCTTTTTACCGGGGGAAAGGGCCCTGCCATCCAGGCCGTTCTCTGACTTCCGCTTCATCTGCAAGGAGAAGGAGAGTTAAAGCAGGCTGGAGCAGAGCCCTCTGCGCACATTCTGGGTCACTGATTTTCTGCCAAAAGTGACAGAGTAGGAGACCCAGCCTAGTAAGTCTTCCAAGGCCACGCTTATGTTGGGGATCTGCAGAAGGAAGCTGAGGACCACCTGAGCTCCAGATCTGGCAGAAGAGTTAACTTCCGTGGGAGAAATGGAACGTGGTCCTTCCAAGGGGAATATCAGACCTGATGGGGAAAAGTCAGCAAAACAGCTGCACAGGGACAAAAACAGTGGCTGAGAAAACCTATAGGTACATCTGCTTGACCCTTCTCTAGGCACAGCTCGACACGGAGCAGGCAGACCTGCAGCCTGAGCAAGGAACTTGGCACGCTGAAGTCTCCTGGCAGACCAGCCTTACAGCCGGGCCCCAGAGCTGCTCAGCATACCTCACTGCAATGACAGCTACAGGGAGAGCTGCGCTGGAATGTGTGGCAGACCGTACCTTGACGTGGTTGCATCAAAGGCAATCTACATCCTTCTAACTCCGTACAAGAGGCGCAGGGTTAACAGGAAACGCGGGAGAGCGGGCTGGCTACCAGGCAGTGCTGGCAGCCACCAGAAGGTGAGCATGGGGCTCCCCCAACACAGGTAGGAAGCTGGGGGCTCTTTCCCATCAGTAACTGACCCGGGCACCAGCTGCAGCCCTGCACACAGGGCTGGTCAGGGCTTCTCACCACATGCCCGCATCCCACAGAAACGTCCCTGAGGCCTTTGCCTACCCCCCCCAGCAGACCCCTGGTGCCGCGATTCAGGCTCTGCACTACGAGACAGGGACCCCAGCGCAGAGCAGCATGGCTTCCCTGGGGACGGGCACGGCTGGGGACTGCCAGCAGCGCTCGGACAGACGGGGACAGGGTGTCCTTCCCCCGGCCCCCAACAGCCAGGCAGGCCGACGACGACTGCCGAGCACTATCTGCACCGCGGAGCTCCCAGCCCAGCCAGCACCCAGCTGACAGCCCCGAGCTCCCCAGCTGGCCCCCAGCACCCCGGCGTGTCCTGGGGGTCTGCAGCAGCAATGACGACCAGACACATACCCCACGCAGCAGGAGCTTGAAGTGCTATG